GGATCTCAGAGGAACAGTCAGGACATCTGAGGAACCATTAGACCTCAGAGGAACAATCAGGATCTCAGAGGAACAGTCAAGACCTCAGAGGACCATTAGACCTCAGAGGAACCATCAGAACTCAGAGGAACCATGAGGACCTAAGAGGAACAGTCAGGACCTCAGAGGAGCCGTCAGAACCTCAGAGGAGCTTTCATGACCTCAGAGGAACCATCAGACCTCAGAGGAACAGTCAGGACCTCAGAGGAACCATCAGGACCTCAGAGGAACAGTCAGGACCTCAGAGGAACCATCAGGACCTATGAGGGACAGTCAGGACATCTGAGGACCCATTAGACCTCAGAGGAACCATCAGACCTCAGAGGAACAGTCAGGACCTCTGAGGAACAGTCAGGACCTCAGAGGAACGGTCAGGAACTCAGAGGACCCATCAGACCTCAGAGGAGTCATCAGGACCTCAGAGGAACAGTCAGGACCTCAGAGGACCCATCAGACCTCAGAGGACCCATCAGGACCTCAGAGGACCCATCAGACCTCAGAGGAGCCATCAGGACCTCAGAGGAACAGTCAGGACCTCAGAGGAACCATCAGGACCTATGAGGGACAGTCAGGACAACTGAGGACCCATTAGACCTCAGAGGAACCATCAGGATCTCAGAGGAACAGTCAGGACCTCAGAGGAACAGTCAGGACCTCAGAGGACCCATTAGACCTCAGAGGAACTATCAGAACTCAGAGAAACTATGACGACATAAGAGGAACACTCAGGACCTCAGAGGAGCCGTCAGAACCTCAGAGGAGCTATCATGACCTCAGAGGAACCATCAGACCTCAGAGGAACAGTCAGGACCTCAGAGGAACAGACAGGACCCCAGAGGAACGGTCAGGACCTCGGAGGAGACATCAGGACCTCAGAGGATCAGTCAGGACCTCAGAGGAACCATCAGGACCTATGACGGCAGTCAGGACATCTGAGGACCCATTAGACCTCAGAGGAACCATCAGAACTCAGAGGAACCATGAGGACCTAAGAGGAACAGTCAGGACCTCAGAGGAGCTGTCAGAACCTCAGAGGAACCATCAGACCTCAGAGGAACCATCAGGACACCAGGACCTCAGAGGAGCCATCAGAACCTCAGAGGACCCATCAGATGTCAGAGGACCCATCAGGACCTCAGAGGAGCCATCAGGACCTCAGAGGAACAGTCAGGACCTAAGAGGACCCATTAGACCTCAGAGGAACCATCAAACCTCAGAGGAACCATCAGGACCTCAGAGGAACCATCAGGACCTCAGAGGAACCATCAGGACCTCAGAGGACCCATCAAGACCTCAGAGCAACTATCAGGGCCTCAGAGGAACCATCAGGACCTCAGAGGACCCATCAGGACCTCAGAGGACCCATCAGGGCCTCAGAGGACCCATCAGGACCTCATAGGACCCATCCGGACCTCATAGGACCCATCCGGACCTCAGAGGCCCATCAGGACCTTCACCAACAAGAAATAATAAGGTCTGTTTAGCTTCTAACAGGAAGTGTTTCTCCTCCACACCGTTTGATGATGCTCTCTGCGGTTCTTCTGGCCTTCTCTGCTGCTCTCGGTCCTCCAACTGGACACACTGCCGTCGCTCTGAACCCGTCCATGTAGGTGGCACAGACCTGCAGGAGGACCGAGGACATCAGGACAGAAACAGGACAGAAGCAAACAGTGACAGAGAGTGAAGAAACCTCTGATGTTTTACCTTGTAGTCATGAGACGGAGGGAAACCTTTGGCTCCACAGACTCTGACGGCTCCTCCGTCCACACCTGGACACAAGGATTCACCTGTCATTACCTGCAGTTCTGTGACCATGAAGGGTCTGTGACCATGAGAGTTCTGTGACCACGAGAGTTCTGTGACCATGAAGGTTCTGTGACCATGAAGGTTCTGTGACCATGAGAGTTCTGTGACCATGAGAGTTCTGTGACCATGAAGGTTCTGTGACCATGAAGGTTCTGTGACCATGAGAGTTTTGTGACCATGAAGGTTCTGTGACCATGAAGGTTCTGTGACCATGAGAGTTTTGTGACCATGAAGGTTCTGTGACCATGAGAGTTTTGTGACCATGAAGGCTCTGTGACCATGAAGGTTCTGTGACCATGAGTACTGTGACCATGAAGGTTCTGTGACCATGAAGGTTCTGTGACCATGAGAGTTTTGTGACCATGAAGGTTCTGTGACCATGACAGTTTTGTGACCATGAAGGTTCTGTGACCATGAAGGTTCTGTGACCATGAGAGTACTGTGACCATGGGAGTTTTGTGACCATAAAGGTTCTGTGACCTTCAAGGTTCTGTGACCCTGATGTTTTTGTGACCCTGACCATTCTGTGACCCTAAAGTTTCTATGATCCAGACATTTCTGTGACCTGAAGGTTCTGTGCTCTTAACTATTTTGTGACCCAAACCATTTTATGATCTTGATGGTTCTAGGACCCTGACCATTCTGTGATCCTGATGGTTCTGTGATCCTGACCATTTTGTGACCCCTACCATTCCGTGACCTCACAGTTTTTAAACTGTCAGAGAGGATGAAGATGTTTYTGTCTCCTCTCCATCTTTCTCCTCCACCTCCCCGTTGGGCCTGAGATTATCTCACAGTCAGTTCTTCACCTCAGACTGAACCGGGCTACAGAATGAGCACCGACCTGTCCTCGGCTCACTTTCCCGCCTCCCTCATTTCTAAACATAAACAGCTGATCACAGAGACGGGTCACGATGTGGTCGAACCAGCTTCCAGAGTTCAAAAAGGCTCAATTAGATGAAAATATTTACTTTTATTAGAAGAAACAGGAACTAAAAGTTCAGATCCAACTCAGCCCGACAGCTTGTTTACTGTTGTTTTTAAGATAAATCCTGAACTTTGGGATGTTTTAGTTCTATTTATATTTKATTGAACACATCCAGCCTGATTTGACAGTCATTAGTTAAACCAATGATCAGAATTAATTACATTTGATAACCTGGACGGACCAATTAGTCTGTTTCAGTGACTCTATATTTAGGCGAGACAGGCTAAAATATAACATTTGATGAATTGATATGTTCACTATGACTGGTTGGGAATATTTTAGCAACTGGGGCTGTAAAAATATGTTTAGATTTGTTTAAAAAAGGTGTTTTTCAGAAGTAAAAACAACAACAGCTCTGTGCTGCTGCTTCTATTCTCATCATTTATTCAGATTTGGAAWATGTTACAAACACAGATCTCCTCTTGTTCCAAATGTATCCATGAGTTTTATAAAATGTGTTAATATTTACTCAGGCTGAGCAGGAGGGTCACTGTGAGAYCAGTGGTGTGGTTTCTCCTGAATTAATGACCAAAGAAACGAGAGGAACTGAGTTGTTTTCAATAAGAGAGAAGTTCAGCTGAAGGTTTCAGAGTTCATGTGAAGTTTAGAGCRCTGATGGGATCAGTCGGGTTGATGGATCCATGTTTAGGTTTACAAAAGCCCAGTCCGTCTCTGATAACTAAAAGAGTTTAACGGAGGTTCAGAGGAGGGTGAGGGGTTCAGTCAGAGGGCCCAACCAGCCTCCAGATGCTTTTGTTTAGGAGTTTTCAGGGTTATAAAAACAGTCAGCGGTTCAAACTGTGGTCAGGTCCTCAGCTCTGAGTGTCAGTGTGTGAGGGACCAGTACCGGGGACTTCCTGGATCTCCACCCGGCTGAAGTCACAGGTGACGTCAGGCAGCAGGTATCTGCGCGGGTCTCCGATCTCGTACACCAGCTGCTCCGCCGCCGTGCCGAACGACACCAGGCCGCCGGTCCTCGGAGGTTTGGAGAGAACGAAGGAACCGTCGGGCGAACACTGGACCACCGGGAAGCCCATGTTGTCCCTGAGGGGGTGGGACCGCAGCCATCAGGGGACGTTTGATGTTTCCCTCCATATCTGAGGAAACGGTTTCTTAGGCTCAATAAGTTTAATCACACTTCTCACCAGTCTGGAACTAGGTGCCAGTCCGTGAAGATCCCTCCTGTGCTCTGAGCTCCGCACTCGATCAGGTGACCTGCCAGGCTACAAACAAGTCAGTCAGATTAGACTTCCTGTTCCTTCTGTATTTCTTTCTTGACTTCACCAGATCTTTCAGGCAGTAAAATGACCCTTTATGTTCTTATGAGTTAAAGATGTTTGTACCTTCCTGCTGCGAGCAGGTCGTAGTCACTTCTCCTCCACCCAAACTGCAACAGAGACAAAGAAAATCATTAAAACCTGGGTTGAACAGTTTTTGAGTTATAAGAGTTTTTGWGTGTCCAGACACCCACTTTTCAGATGGAGCCCCCTCCTCAWATATGGGGTCTATTGTAAAACCATTAGCTGGCGCAGTGTAAACGTTATGAACTAGAGGTCCAGTTTTACTTGTTGTGTTAAGTCAAACAACAGTAAACACATGATGTTTGTGTTTGTAAACACACTACAGTAAACATACGGRGTGCATGAGCGGCCCCAGAGCCACGGCGCTGTCCACGCAGCGTCCCGTCACCACGATGTCGGCGCCAAGGTCCAGGCAGCGGCGGATCGGCTCGGCCCTGAACACAGGAGGTGGGTCAGAGCTACGAACTCGTACCGACACACGTACCGTCTGTCCAGAGTTACCCCAGGTAAGAGTTCATGCTGTGCAGAGTCTTCGGCAGTGACTGTCGGCCGCTGCCGTCGGCCATCTTTACTTCAGACAGGAGGCTCCTCTGATGGAGAGAAACATCAGCTGAAGGTACAGACACTTTCAGCTGACATGCATGGGAAACGCCGAGGGATGAAAGCTTTGCTGAAACTTATTATCAGGTAAAATTATCAGAATAAAAGCTACAAGCAGCAGAAGCTYAAGTTAGCAAAGCAAAATCTACAAGCTAAAATTAGCACAAGAAAGGCTAAAACCCAAAACTAGCTAAACAAAAGCCTAAATTAGCTAAACTAAGGCAAAACTTAGCTAAACAAAAGCCAAAATTAGCAAAACAAAAGCCTAAATTAGCTAAACAAAAGCTAAGATTAGCAAAACAAAAGCCAAAATTAGCTAAACAAAAGCCAAATTTTGCTAAACAAAAGCCAAAATTAGCTAAACAAAAGTCAAGATTAGCAAAATAAAAGTTCAAATTTTGCTAAACAGTACATATAAACCAAGATGTAAAACAGCCAAAAGATGAAAGATAAATTAGCAGAACAGTAGCTAAAAGCTAAAACAGTAGCAGATTTAAAAGAGCTCAGTTGACAGCATTCAGACAACAGACTCTTAATCAAGAAATACGCTCTGATGATGTCACAACGGAGGAGGCGGGGTCATACGTGGGGCATGAGGTCATCACCAGTCACCACAGCGACCTTCAGGTCCAGCCCAGCCTTTCTGACAACTTCCTGTATGGCCTCGGCGCAGGCCAGAGGGTTCACTCCGCCGGCGTTGCTGACCACACGGATGCCTGGTAAGGACAGAGGTGGGCGGAGACTGTTGCCATGGAGACAGAAGTTACCTGCCACGCCGTGCGCTCACCTTTCCTGTGGATATCGTTGATGAACGGAGCCAGAGCCACCTGGACGAAGTCAGGAGCGTAGCCCAGATCCTGCAGGAGGATTCAGAGAGAGGGAGTTAATGAGCTACACTGACCTCTGCAGGCAGACAGGTGGGACTGCAGTGACCCCTGCAGGCAGACAGGTGGGACTGCAGTGACCCCTGCAGGCAGACAGGTGGGACTGCAGTGACCCCTGCAGGCAGACAGGTGGGACTGCAGTGACCCCTGCAGGCAGACAGGTGG